TCTGTGGGTTTTTCCCAATTTCAGATTTTTCCACATTAAACCTAGTGTCTTTTACTTTTCGTTGCATTTCAATTTTTCTTGTTTGTTTTGTTGCACATTTCACTTCTCCATCCCCAACACAAAGTGATGAAGACAAGTTATTAGTAGAGAGTAAGCAAATGAGCATTATAATAACCAATGTATGATAAGGCAACTCAATCCCTTCAAGGGTATGCATATATGATAAGGTCCCATGAAATTATTATTATGAATAAAAATGTAAGCCTTATTAAACTTTTCTCAGGTTGAGGAGTCTCATTCTTTTCACTATAAAGGATTTGATGGGCTTTCTTCTTTGTAGAAAAAATAACAAGCACAAGTGCAATGGGCAATTTAAACTCTTATCTAAATTCCTTGACCGAGAAAAATTTTGAAATATTGCTCAGAAAGCCCTCTATATTGATGGGAGGAATCTTGGCTACAAATAAGCTAAAAAATACTATGTTGTGATTCGAAGATGAAAAAAAGTTTGGATTTAGACTTCCCATTGTTTATAACTTCATGTGATGCCTTAGTGAACCTTAAGATATACTATCATAAATCATAATCAATCACTCTATTTTGATTGATACAATAGAGGGAATGATGGTTGCTCATAGGTCATCACTTAGAATGTGAAATTTGAGCAAGAAAAAAGGTAACAAATTTATTTAAAAGAATCAATGCTCAAAGGAGTCAAAGAGTAAAACGATCACCTAACATCAAAATTAAAAGTAATAGCAAAAATATAGCACTTAATAACATGAGAAACACTACACATCTATAGGTGGCTCTTATAAGTGTCTATGTGATCATATATATTAATATTCCTTTTATACAAGCAGCTATATGTGAGGGTCTTTTAATTGAGAAGCGGAGATAGAGATACGTCCGGACATCCACTTAAAATTTGACATGTGGATTGCACTTTGGTTATACTTTTTTGTGGGCTTTACTTGTGCTTTACCTATGCTTTAACTGTTCTTTTGTTGAACTTTTTTATTGCGTTTTGACTGCATTTTACCTGCACTTTACCTACGCTTTGGTTGCACTTTTTGGTGCGCTTAGCTTAAAATTCCGCAAACACATTAAATATATAAAGTAAAAAAATAAAACCAATCGAATATTCACGTGTCAACATTTTATTGGAGTCCGGACATACCTCTACGTCTGGTCTCCGCACCTAATAATTTCTCCTTTTAATGGCAACACTTCTTTTAAGGTTAGTAGAGGTGAATGGAGGATTACTAGTAAAACCTAGGTTGTAAGGATGGAGAAGGAACATCACAAATGATAGGATCTTTCTCAATGAGGGATCTTGAGATGATGAAGGTGGGAAAGAATATATAGGAGAGTAAAGAAAAAGATGCATACCATCAATGACGTTCCAATCACAAACATAGAGAAGAGAAGATCCATGATTGTTGTGATCGTGAAGCAACACTACAAAAAATTCATTGAATACCGGCGGTCCCCAATGCTTTTGGCACTAGAATTTACCGGCGGTTTACCTGCGGTTTTGGGTTCATTAATTTCCGGCTGTTTTAGCCTCCGGAAAACTGCAGGAAAATTTTGCCGCCGGAAAATGGCTGCCGGTTTTCATTTCCTATGTGGTTTATTCCAGCAGTTTATAAACCGTCAGTAATTGATGATTTTTTTGTAGTGCAAGAAGTAATAGCGACGTTGTTCAAGCTGACATGGAGGTGCATGCTTGTGGGTTACATATACATGTTGCAAAGCTCTAACTACTACGTTGAACCAACAATAAGCAAGGTGAGGAGACATGAGTTGCTGTCAGCTTTTACTGCTCGATCCTTCATGTGGAACATGGGAAGAAGTTGGAATACATACAAAAGGAGGCCCAATATTATAGAAAGAATAAAAGGTGTGAACCAATAGACTCAGTGTAGCAGAGAAAATGATAAGAAATAATGCTTCAAAAGAACTGAGCTAAACCAAATAGGATCTTGTTCAATCTAGCTAAAGCTCATTTGCGCCTAAAATCATAAACAAGGAAACTATTAAGTATTAAATGAGCGTATTATATATCCTTAACAGAGCTTTTTAATAAGCTAGTTCATAAGCTTTAAAAGATATTATTTATTATCATAAGCAAATCAAGCTTTAAGATGTTCAACTTATTCTTTTATCAATTGATCTTTAATAAACAAGTTCAAACTTGGTATATTAGTTAAGTAAATGGTAATAAACATGCTTTTACCTAGTCAAATCATAGATGTTAAATAATTATTATAAAAAATAGGCTTATTATAAAATTAAAATATGTTATATTTAAATTAATTTATTAATTAAATATTTTATAA